AAATTTCATGGACATTTTCTTGTGCATTATTAGTCAAAGGCCATGAAGACAGTTTATTTCCATATTTTTTTATGTTGGGAACATTTGACATTCGTAATTGTAAAGCCCCTTAAAATTGTCTCAACAGATTTGCACCAATCTTAAGACTGGTCAGATTGTCTTTAAAAGGTTGGACATTCAGCTAAAATTATCCAAAAAAACCCATCCCTGTAGGTTGGCATACCCTGAATCATTAAAATAGTTCCACAGTTTTCAGCAGACCGATTCCTCCACACAACAATGCCTGTTCTATTYTCATGCATGAGTTTTGGCTGTTGGACTTTCTTAATAAATATCTGCTTCCAGGTACAGTCAGATTCTGGATGTGATACAGTGCCTGAGTGCTGACAGCATAAAGACATATGTCCATGAACGTTTGACCAATCACACAGTTCTATGTGGGTTGTGACAAGAAGGAGTGGAAGACTCTAAGCTGTGAAAAAAAGGATGCAATTTGTGTCATAAAACTGCGACAATGAGAGTCGATTTCAGCAGTTTGGATGCAGCATACTTGTCGATTAAGCAGTTATCTACGAGAAGCTTAGTGTTTTATTATCCAGCTCCACATTATAATAGGTGTCTGCAGAAAAACTCACCTGGCTGAAGGTTGGTTTGTTGTGCAATCTTGAGCAGCGGTCTCCATGTCTGCAGGCTCCAATTTTGAAATAGAAGGAACAGTTAACCCTGGGAATAGAAGAACACTGTTACCACAAAAACACACGACCTTCTTTTCTTATTTTGCTGATGTAACAGAGCTCTAGATACTGTGCTTTCTCAATAAAGTTCACCACTCATTAGAAACTAAATCACTAAAGAAAGAATTTGCATTGTATACACTACTAGAACACCCTCATTCATCACTTTTTAATTTGACATTCAAGCAGCTCAAGTCCAACAAGCAGYTTGAAAGGTTACARAGGTAAGTGATGAACTGCAAGAGGWTTAAAAACACRTCAGGTTATCCAAAACTGAAAGTCAAGGTGTCTGTGAGTCCAGCTTTCTTCACCTTCACAATGCTGTCAGAAACTGGTGGGAACTCTGACAGGAAGAGGTGTGGCAGATGACAAATTTCTGAGAGTCCACAGCGTGTGATAGGCCACTCACAGGCCCTCTCATTGCTCCTCTCCGCTTCAAATATGATGAATATTTAAACAAAAGTTCTGTAATTTATTTATCAACAC